ATAGTCATTGTGTGAATACCTGTATGACCAAGAGTAGGTTTTAGTGTGTAAACTGCTCAGTGATTTCATAAAAGCGACTTGAGTGCTTTAGTCTAATGGTATCACAGAGTCTAACACAATTTGAACTCAATCTTCGTTTCAAAGAAGTGTTTACATCATTTCTCAAGACCAGTGATGCTAAGCATTAGCTTTCTAACATTAGATTCCAAACTGTCAAAAGAATCATCTGAAAAGCTTGTTTAAAATGTAGTTTTCAGACAATGCCCACAGATTTTGATTCTGTAAGTCAAGATCAGTGCTCTGGAACTAGCATTTGGGGCTGTCTGAGGTATGTGGCAAGCAGAGTATCTTGCACAGATTATTTCTTCTGTTTCAGGGTTAAACTACCTTGAAAAGCCTAAGCACACCTTTCCTTTAAAGGGCTAAATATATTTAATAGCATATATTATTCTTGTTATTAATTTGAAAGTCATCTGGTCATATAAATGTAGTATTAGTTTTATAAAGATAACAAAAATTCATCCAAAGATATCATGATACCTAATAACTTACAGTTAAATTTCATATTTCGTTCTTCTTTAATTTATCGGTGAGGACATAACTATAGTAATATCTATTCCATAATCATACATACGTATTTTTTTTCTGGCATTCTCTTAGGGCATTAATTCTAAGATGACAGTGATTACGTATAATGAAAAATTTTCTGAGACTTCTTTCTAAGGTTTGGTGTCTTAATTAACATCACAATTAGCATATATTGATGCCATGCCTTCAATGCAGTAATACTTAAGAGAGTTTGGATACAAAACTATTTTTGAAACTAAAGTAAAACACTGAAATGAATCTTTGTCCTTAATATTTTTAATATATAATAATCCAAACTATTATTTTAATTTAGAAAATACTCAGAATAGTTCCAATTTTTAAACAATGTGTATGAAATTCTTTATCTCTTAAGATACATTTGACTTAATGATTCTAAGAAAATTAAACATTTTGGCATAACTTTAAAAAGAAAACAGCCACAACATAATGTGGCTTATATGTTAAGCTTGCATTTTCTAATAAAAATGAATTTATTACTGAATGCACATCTGCTTAAATGTGATATACAATGAATTATGAAAGATAATAAACTATTCCTATACTCAGAATATTTTCTAGGTGAAGTAATGAGACACAGAGTCAAAGAATAGCAAGGGAAGAACTGTAAATTGTGAGCATTGCTTTTGTCAATTTTCTTCCCAAAAATGAATAAAATAATACTGTAAGACATGTATTATGAGTTGCACAGATAACTTTTGAACAAAGAATACTAATGGAAGGAGGTCAAATCTAGCAATAATTCACAGAGATAATATGTTGTTGAAAATTTTAATAGTCACATTTGTATATGATATCATCTAAGTTGTGATATTCAAAATGTATTACAATTAGTAAAGATACACCATGAAGTTCCATATAAAAAAAATACCAAAAAGGGCCGGGCGCGGTGGCTCAAGCCTGTAATCCCAGCACTTTGGGAGGCCGAGACGGGTGGATCACGAGGTCAGGAAATCGAGACCATCCTGGCTAACACAGTGAAACCCCGTCTCTACTAAAAAAATATACAAAAAAAAACACTAGCCGGGCGAGGTGGCGGGCGCCTGTAGTTCCAGCTACTCGGGAGGCTGAGGCAGGAGAATGGCGTGAACCTGGGAGGCGGAGCTTGCAGTGAGCTGAGATCCAGCCACTGCACTCCAGCCTGAGCCACAGAGCTAGACTCCATCTCAAAAAAAAAAAAAAAATACTAAAAATGTGTTACCCTGTTGAACTACAGGATAGTTTAACATAGCTATAATAGAATACAGAATGAACATATATAAGATGTAATTGAACCCATCAGTTAGGGAACCAGCAGAGTAATATAGGTAATTCCAAAGTCATTTGATTGAGGCCAGGCGCAGTGGCTCACGCCTGTAATCCCAGCACTTTGGGAGACCGAGACGGGTGGATCAACTGAGGTCAGAAGTTCGAGTTCAGTCTGGCCAACATGGTGAAACCTTCTTTCTACTCAAAATATGGAAATTAGCTGGGCGTGGTGGTGCATGCATGTAATCCCAGCTACTCGGGAGGCTGAGGCAGGAGAATACCTGGAACCCAGAAGGTGGAGGTCATAGTAAGCTGTGATCACTTCACTTCACTCCAGCCTGGGCAACAAGAGTGAGTCTCCATCTCCGGGGCGGGGGTGGGGAGGCACTTGAAGACCTGGGTATTTATCAGCATTTGAATAATGAACGTTAGACTAGAGTAAATCTATTTTGCTGGATACAAAACTGATGTTCTGCATGACAATAAAACCATGACCTTTGATGTTATAGTTTCTACTGGGCAGAACCATTTGCATTTGTCTTGACAAAAAACTCTAGTTATCATGTAAGTCAACAGAGTATTGGTCTTTAATCAATAGTGGAGAGCACATAAGACAAAGAAATATGTGTCTAGATATTTACATAACTTTTGGACACTCTATTATAATAAGGCATTGAAAGGGCTTACTCTCTTCCCTTTTTGTCATTTCCAAATGTTAGATATTTTTCTTATTAATATTTTATCTGCCCTCTGCCTTCATACACATCCCTTCTATAATATGACTGTCTAGTTTATGGCACCATTTAATAAACTCTTGCACCTCTCCTTTTGCCAGAATAACACTTCCCTGGAGAACAGGAAGTAATTAAGTGTGTGAATTCAAAGGGGCTCCCTGCAGGGCTATAGGCTTCACGCTAAGTAAGAGTAAATAGAAATTGTTTGCAGTGTCAACAATTACAGCCAACAGAGTCAATAAGAATTTAGAGATAAGATTAACAATAGATAAGTGACTAAATGGGAAACATTCCTTCCCAGAGTTAATGGCATCTTTATTTGGAAAGTTTCTGAGATATTTTGTGTTTCTCTATGAGCATGCAAGTGTTTCAAACAGATTTTTCCAACTAATTTTAGATTTTGGATATTGCATTAAAAATCCCTTCATGTTTTGAACAGATATAATTAAATGCTATTTAATGTGCCCTTCAAAATGAGATACTTGAATAATTTACTGTAGTTCATTCCACAGTGCTTAAGTCCGGAGCAATGATTACATCAAATTGATCTCTTGACATTTTTCACAGCACTTCATTTTCAAAGTAGTTGGTCTTGTACACACGCGTATCAACCACAAATATTGCAATTTAGAGGAGCTCTTCAACAAACTGTCAAATAAATCTATCCTTCTTCAATGCTTAATTCACTTGAAAGCTAAATCCTATAGATTCGATGGTTATCTAAATGATTATAATTACTCTTCATTTTAGGATTTCTAAAAATGCTTCTTCTTGTTTAAAATTACTCAATTTGCATTCACCTCTGTATACGTGAATGGTATTTGTTGTTTGGAAGCCGAATTTAAATACAATTTAATGTACTTAAGTCTCTAATATAGCTAGGCCTCTGCTTGTGGACTTTTTGGTAACTTTTGAATGGCTTCATCTTTTGTATCCGTCTAAGGGAGTTTCAGTGTGTGGTTTGTGGGTCAGTGAGATCGTAGAAAAGAAAAGAAATAGAAGTGCATATAGGAATTTACCTGAACATGATGATTTCTTTGAGTATTTTCCCAGAATAGAAGCCTGGTTCATACTATACTCTGGGAACATATTTCTCTATAATGTCAAATGTATGTTTACATGGTGTATTTAATGCCCCTAAATAGAAATACATCAGGATTTGGCTTTGTGTACATAGTTTTCTGTAATCTACCTGGTAGGACAGAACAGGATTTGAAGCAAACAATTCGTTAAGTCACCTTTAAAAGATGTAAGTAAATATTTTCTTAACGTGTATATAGACATGACATCAAATGAAACTCTGAGAAGAGGCCATGGTAGAATAATTCAAGCATGTTAGGCCCAGACTAGGAGACTCCAACTATGTCTTTGAAAGAAACAACTAATTAAACAAATCAAATATATTTAATTAAATATCTATAATCTCTCTCTGATGCACACATATCCCATTTCCTATATAAGCCTTTCATATTTTGGTACTTCTAAATACTTTAATTGAAGCTTACCAAATGCTTGCTACAATCACAGTGTTGTTCCACTATTTTAATGAATACTTTATATCTACTACTGTAGATATGCTTATACCAATCTGTGTTTTTAAGTTCTATTTAATTCACACCCAAGGAAATAATAAAGCAGATATTTCAATAAATTTACCCAATATCATACAAGTAACAGATATCAGAACTTAGATTTAAACAGTGAACTAGAACATTTAGGTGTTTTTTTTCCCCCCCTTTTCATCATTTCCTTATAAATATGGAAATTGTTGTGAAGTCAGTATTTAATGTATTAATACATACTCCCCCATACTAGGGTTAAGAAAAACAAGCAGTTATTTGGCAAACTTCTTTTTAAAGGCTTACAAGTCTTGCTATTTACCTTAAGAATTGACACAACCTTTCAATCACTTAGGGCAATCTTACCACCCCATAAAAATCTCTCTTTGTAACATTACACTTGCTTTTTTAAAAAAATTGATTCTGCTTAGATTAAAGCACTAAGTGTAATGAACAAGTTAAGATAACTTTAGCTGAAGAAAGCTTAGATTAGATTATCATTCATTGGACTTGAAAGGGGCTTTAATATCATATAATTTATATTTTGTTTATAAAAATGAGGGTATATAATGGTAGGTATTTGAATGCATGAATTAGTGAAAAATTCTTAGTAATAAGCTAGAGACATTTTTTAGCCTCTGTTTGATCTCCTTGAATAGTAGTTACTTTTTAAAATTTTGAAACATTTGCAAACTAGTTCTAAAAATTAAGTCTTTAAAAATTGAAATTGAAATTTTTACTTTGTGCCACCATAAAAAAGAGGTTTTTTTTTTTTTTAATAAGATAACTTTCAGGTATGAGAGTACATTTATCATAGACTCATGTCATATAAGTTATTATTTTATTACATTTTTGTGCTACTTACAAATTACATAGTTGTTGTTAAATTGCTTAATGTTTATGAGCCTTGATTTTTTTCATGGATAAGATGAGTCTCTGTGATACCTCTCTATTTGAATAATTGTAAGGCTTAAATGAGAGAATGGCAGAATGGATATAAACTGTCTTCCACTGTGCCTGCCACACGGTAGGAACTTTGTTTCTGTTAGGTAGATAAATTATCTCCTTTCCGTCAGCCACAGAAATAACTCAGGAAGCAGACAACATTCACAGGCTTTTCTTGTCTAGATGGAACCATCGTACCAGGGCAGCATGAAAAGATCTATTGCTTAAATTCCTAAAATTGTTTGTGTGCCCTATTTTTGTATTCTGACATTATGACAAAGAATAATATAAATACGTTCTAGTAGTAACTCTAATTTGCATATTTTAGAATTATGTTGAAGGTCTGCCATTTCATGCGTTTTAAGCATGTAAGTTTTATAAAGTTAGCAATCTAATCACAACAGGATAACATCTGGCTGTCTCTCTCAAAAATATTGGCACTCATAGACAATTAAAACAATTAAAATTATAAAGAATAAGTTGGAATTCTCCTCAAATTCCCATACCTCAAGGGAAAAGTTTTTGGAAAACTTATTTTCTCCTTTTCATCCACCTAGGTTTTCAAAAACGGGAACATATTGAACCCTCTGTTCTACAACTATCTTCTTACAACTGAGTTAGTATGCAGTGCTTTCCAAGTCAATAATGAAAGTGGTAATGAATCATCATAATAACATTATTAACAATAGCTAGTTTTACTGAGCACCTAATATATGTCAGATATTATATGAAATGCTTTACATGTATTATGATATATAAGATGCAAAATGATTTTGTGAATAGCTATCATTTTGATTCCTAAACAGCTTCTCCCAGATTTTAAGTGAAGTAGGTAGCACAGCCTGTCCTCAAACATCTGTCTCTTAAGGACGAAGAATATGCTTCTGTTTTCCTACATTGGTGCCTTTGTTTGACACTGAAATTCTCTTTGCTGTAATCTCAGTTACATAATTCTGTTTACTTGTTGACTTGTTTTAGACCCTACTTCCGAGCTGTAATGTTCCAAGAGGAAAGGACCAGTTCTATTTTTTCAATCTGTCTTACTACAAACGTAAGTGTCTCACACATAGCTTTGAATAAGTCAATAAAAAAAATTACATGACACCCTTTTAATAGCTACACCGTATTCTTTCATGAGCCCATGCTGTGAAGTATGTAACTCGCCCCTTTTCATCTTGACTTTTGGATGCTTATAATCTCTACCTTTACGAATATCCTCGTATTTACATTCTTGTGCAATTGTTCACATTTTTCTTGTTAGGAAAAAATCCCCAAATTAGAATTGTTCAATCAAAGCATACACCCATTTAAAATGCAAAGCATACTGTAAAGTACAGTTACTTAGGAAGATTTTTCTAGTATTGCTTTCACAATGTTGAATAAAAGTGACAATTTTCCCCACTTTTAACAACATTTAATACAGTGATCTTTTTTACAGTTCGAAAGTGTTTAGCCAAAGTGAAATCCTACCCAAACTGTAGCACACTTGCTTCGGTAGTACAGTAATACTGCTGAAAGGCAAATCTCCAAGTCTCCGTGGCTTAACACAAGTGATCGGAAGTCTGTTGCGCGTGGTGAGGGTCTTTGTTTTCATAGTCATTGGGGGATTCTCTCTTCTACCGTGGTGCAGCCTTCTTCAAAGGCCTCAGTTTTTTCTGTGTTTATCCACCAGATGGGTAGAGCAAATGGAGGATTGATCACAAGGAGGATTTTATGAGCCGTGCCAAGAAGTGAGTTAATCCATTGGCCAGAATTGAGTTACATAGCCACGTTTAATTTCAAGGAAGGCTAGGAAGTTAGCATGGCTGTGTGCCCAAGAAAACTGGAGCATTGGTTGAGCAAACAATGAACCAATCCCTACCTGAGTTTTCCCTTCTAGTCACTAAATAACTGTTTGAATCTTCATGCTTTACATGAAACCTACTCACCCCACCCCAAAGGAGACGAACATGTATCCCATATGTTAAATTTAAAGATCCTTGGGTAATAGTCTTCTCCAAATGGTCAGGATCTAAAAGGCAATCCCACCCCACCCCTACAGATGTTCCAAATCAAGGGCAGAACTGAAACAGGGTAACAGCAACAAACATTCCCTCCTGGGAAAAAGAGGAATAAGAAACAAACAGATGTTTCCAGTTCATATCAATATTTAAATACTCCTGGGGATAAGACACTGCTTTTTCCAGGTAACAGGAACTCTCTGGCCCATTATTGTTTATAAACCATCTAGTTGTATCTTACAGTTATTTCTTACACTTTTTTCTTCCATAACTACATCTAGAGTAGGCAGTGGAAAATAAGCTGTTCTTTGGGACTGACTCCTATAACTTTCCACCTGTATGTTTAAGCCTCAGGATCCAAAGGTTTATCTGAGACTCAAGTTATCAAAATGTTACCATCCAGGATCATTATTTCTTTGTCAATAGGACTTCTTCAAAAATGGGTAGGCTTTTGATTGATTTTTTAAAAAAATCAGTCCCATATGATAGTAAATGCTCCTGTGGGAGGGTTTTATGGACCACGCCTGAATGTAGTTTTTACCACTTTTAGCCATGTTCCTTTGGCAAGGACTCAGCGATTATAGTCAAACCTACAAGGAAAGGAAGGAAATATGAAACAGCTGGATGGCCAGGAGCAGATAATTTTGTTAAACATCAGCCTATTGTTGCCTTAATTATTGAGGAATAAAAAAACCTCTATATTAGGAAATAACTTTGATTCATTTTAGTTGCCCTGTTGAAGTTTGGATATAGTCTGTCCATAAAAGAAAGATAAGGAAGGAAAGAGACAATTTTGGTAAACATCAGCCTGTTGTTGCCTTAAATGATTAGGGGAAAAAAACCCTCTATATTAAGGAATAACTTTGATTCATTTCAGTTGCCCTGTTGGAATTTGGGTGTAGTCTGTATGTAAAAAAAAAAACAATATAAAGTTACTATTTAAAAAAATTACCAATGAATAAAATTTAAAAATATAAAAAACATGTATCTTCCAGAATTCTTTATTTTTCAATGACTGTCATTTGGCTACAACATTTTAAAAATACAAAGAATTGAAATGTAATGATGAATAAAACACTGATAAAAATTAAGGAAAAAGTAAACAAATTCTTTCTAGATTCAACAATTTAAAAGATTCAATTCTATTTTGATTACTTGTGTTTAAAAATAGGCAAAATTATGATTTTATGTGTATGTATATATATAAATTATTTCTGCTTTATGTATCAATAATGATTTATGTTTGGAAGGTACAAAACATAAAAGTGATAATGCATCATTTTAGCTTGGGTTTCCAATGGCTTTAAATCTTTATAATCTGTATCTGTCCATCTATCTATCTATAGATCTATCTATCTATCTATCTATACACATGGAAGAAATAGAAGAATACTTTCAAGTACAAAACTTGGGATTCCCCAGTTACGTAGGTAAAAGGCAAAGCTGAAAGCTAAGTTTAGTCACTTTTCTCTCAGTTGCTGACTTTTCTATTAACTGGGGCCCATCAAATCCTATTAGTCAAATATTATTAGGTCAAAATAGCAAACCCTTAATTACTTGAACACTTACGTAGTATGCATCTCCCATATGTGAGACAGAGTGTGATTTAACAGGTATTCAAGAAAAAAAAAGTCAGCACCTACAATTAAGAGGATTATGGTTGGATGCAGTGGCTACCAAATGGTGTTTCCAAAATGGGAAGAAATATCACCTGTGAACTCATTAGACCAGCATCCCCTCAGACTCCACTAGCCATCTGTTTTTAACAAGTCTTCTGGGTGATTCTGATGCAATCCAAAGATTGACTATGGCTGGTCTAGTGCTGTCCTTTAAGGGCACTTATGGTGTGTGACAGAATATGCTCCCTGCTACCTCTGCTCCATCCTGAGCATTTTTCTAAATTACAACCAGAAACTTAAAATGTGTAAAAACTGAGCTACAGCACTTCATGTTCCATTTACTAGTGTTATGTCCTTTACACATTACAGAAATAAGTATTCCTATAAATGAGTTGCAGCAGAAAAGGTCTTGTGAGCATTCAGTAAGCAGACACATAAAAATAAAAAGATATAGTAAAATTCAATTCAATTTACCTCTCTTTAAATCTGTTCTTTATTTTTCTAAAATATATTAAAGACATTTCTGCTAAAAGCCTGTGAATATATAGTTAATAAGGAACAAATCTAAATTCAAGGTCAAGACCATAAGGGGAGAAAAGCAAGTCTATTATAAACCATGATGTTAAATGCAGACTATACGATTGAGAGGGAGATTTCACTGTTATCTTTGAACAAAGATTGAAAAGAAAATATGATTAGTTATATTAGGATGGTTACTATAGAGACATATAAAATGCTTTGTTATATTTTCATAAAGTTCTTGTGGAAGATATTGTTAAAGATCTTAGAAATCCCCAACTTAATAGCTTAAAGGAATCAGGCAGATAATTTAAATAAGCAATTAGAATCAGATGTAATAAAATGAGGACTGGCTTATGTAGACTGCGGTGATGTGGAAAACAGGCCATTCTGAATTGATCATGCATTTCCCAGGTCAGAGAGGTCAATGCCAAACAGAATATAGTTCCCATTTCACCAGATCTTCACATTTCTCAAGAGAAGATAGAAACTGGGACATTTATGTAAAATCTGCACATGCTTTAATATTTTAAAATAATTTATATTTTATAACATTGTTTGCAAAAATGACATACTTCTGAGTGAATACATACCCTTCTGCACCTGCCAGTATACAAATTACGTGTTGCAACACGTTCTTTGTGGAAACTGAAGGGAAAATTATTTCTGCTTTGTGTATCAAAAATGATTTTTTTGGCCGGGCGCAGTGGCTCACGCCTGTATTCCCAGCACTTTGGGAGGCCGAGGTGGGGAGATTCCCTGAGCTCAGGAGTTTGCAACCAGCCTGGGCAACATGGTGAAACCCCATCTCTACTAAAATACAAAAAGTAGCTGGGCATGGCGGCATGCACCTGTAGTCCCAGTTACTCAGAAGGGTGAGGCAGGAGAATTGCTTGAACCCGGGAGGCGGAGGTTGCAGTGAGTCAAGATCGTGACACTCCACTCCAGCCTGGGTGACAAAGCAAGACTCTCCTCAAAAAAAATAAAAAAAAAAAAGAAGATAAAAGATTTTTTTGTATTCTGAAACAGTACAAAACATAAAGTTGTTAATCATGCCTTTTAACGTGGTTCCAAAGAGGCTTCGAATCGTTAGCTGCAGTTTGTTATCAACGCAGGAATGCATATGGTCAGTTAAGGATTTCAGTTCTATGTGCCTTTCTTCATTTCAACTTCTCGCTTTCCTATGCCTCTTCTCTCCCATCATGCCTTATTTTTATATTATATCTTATGGTATGGTTAACACAATCAGAATTTCTGTCTCGGACTGTTTTTCTTCAGATGATAGTGCCTTTATTCCCTTTGCTGTAGCCACCACTGAGGAGCTGTTACTATTACAGGCCCATTTTCGACTTTTAATGAGATATGAGATCAGGACAAAGATGATACTTTAAGCTGAGCCATGCTTTCTCTTGTTCCTGAGCCGTGCTTGCTCAGGCTTTTTCTTTTTTTTTACTTCTCACAAGATAATTATCTGAATTTCAAAGGCCTCTGCATCCATATACATGAGCTTTTCCCCAAGTTTCCCACAAGGTACCATGGAACCTAGGTTGACAATCAAAACTAGCCATGACTTGTAACCAGAATAAACACTTCCTTCTAGCAACATAAAAATTAGTACTTACTTTGAGTTCCAGACCAGATTCCCCTTCACTATTTATATACTTCTCTCTAGACCTTCTGTCCTTTGACAAGATTATCCTTCATTTGCACTTATCCAATTATCTTAGATAGACTCTCAAATCTTTGGAACTCAGAAGATCAATATCATTGGGAAAGATTAAATACAAACATTGGGATTCTCATCTCCAAAGAGGTGCTCTAGGCCTGTATACTTGAGGGATTGGGCACGTATTAATTTTCTATTTTGTGTAACAAATTACCATGCTTTTATGCACTTGAAACTTATTTATTACATCTCAGTTTTTATTTATTAGGAGTCAGGCTTAACTGACTTAACTGAAGCTCTGCTCAGGATCTCACAAAGCTGCAATCAAGTTGCCAGCTGAGCTATGTTCTCATCTGGACGCTTGACTGGGGAAGAATCTGCTGTCAAGCTCATTTAGATTATTGATAGAATTCTTTTTTTCTGGCTACAGAACTCATGGCAGCTTGCATCTTCAAGGCCAGTAGAAGAGCTTGCCTGACCTCATGGAGGGCCCAATCCTTCTTTGAATGGCTTTTATATGATTAAGCCAGGCCAATGAATGAGAATCTCCCTTTTGATTGCCTTAGTTAACTGATTTGAAACCTCAATGAAATTTGCAAAATTTTACACATTTTTACTATATAAATAAACCTTTTCCATCACTTATGGACTAGCAACCAGCCCTTAGAGGAAGGAGAATATACAAGTATGTAGCTCACATACCCTAAGGTCACCTTAGGGTATGTCTTCCAAGGGAGCTTCTGATCTCTACCTGAATACATTTTAATACCTGTGATGACTAATCTCACCTGCCAATAGAATCTTAGTAGCAGACTGTTTACCAAATGTAACATAGTTTTTTATCTGCATTTGAATAAGACTTTGAACACATTATGGCATAGGATTACAATTAAATGATGACATAATTGTGTAAACTCTAAGGAAATGTGTATAAAACAAAGAATTTCCACTAAGTGAGAGGATTTGGCTCACCAATTTCCAATGGGAGACAAGATTTCTCTAACACCAAATTAAAAAAGAAACTCACATGCCATTTCGTTGATAGGCATAAAATATAGTGTTATTAGCATTAATCCTAACTAAAGTGTATTGATACTTACTGGACCTCTTAGTAAGGTCCACACAAGCCTCGTGGCTATAATTGCTATGTTCTTGCCAAAGGAACATGGCTGAAAGTGGTAAATACTACATACAGGCCTGGTCTATAAAAACTTCCCACAGGATCTTGCATCCTCTCTTTTCCCATCTGTTGGCTGAATGCAGAGGACATTCATGCCTCAGAGCAGGGGAGAGACACAAGATGGAAGGAATCTGGTCTCTAATTGACAGTATGAAGCAGACTTATCCTTATCTCGTTTTATTTTTATAAAAACCCAAAATAGCTTTTTATATTAGGAAATATTAACAAGTTGGAAAACATGCACACATATAGGAATATGCTATATCCTAAAAAATTATGGAATCAAAGTTTCTTTTCTCTGGAGTCTACATTCAAACACTATGTGCTATTTCATTTCGCTTTGCTTTGCTGTCATTGTGACAAAAAAATCAAAGGGATCTTGAATAGAAGTTTATAGAAATAAAAAAAAGATGCGATAAGTTTATGAATAGATAAAAATAGACTTTAGAATAGCATATGAATTGAACTATATAATTGTAAAACAAAGTAGAAACAGGCTCAGCTTTTTATTTGCTATTTTAATATTTGGTGAGTGCTAGTTTTATGACAGGCAGTGCCTTAAGTTCTGAAAATACAAAAAGGATGCTATCATTCTCACTATTAGTGAATTTAAAAAAAAAAAGCTTAGGAATTTGGATTTTGGAGGTACTTAATTCTGAGATAGAACAACAGCTCCTTCACTCACAAATTTTAGAACTTTTCATGAGTTACATGATCTCTGCACATCCATGAATAAAATATTAGTACTTATCTCATGGAAATATTGTAAAGCTTAGATGAGACAATAAAGGCTAAGTGTTTAGTGTCCTGCATTGGATATAGTGGTCAAATGATGTCAACTAAAGATGATGATAATAATAAAAAATGGAAAATCTAAAATATATGCTACTTTGTAGAAGCACACAAAGAAAAGATGACTGAATTCACAGTGAAGGCCACAAACTGGTGGTCCACTTGGGTAAATATCTGGCCCAGAGGTGTGTATTATTGAGCTAACATAATTTCTATATTTATGCAGAGCAACAATGCACTGAACTCTTGGACCATAGAACATCTATCCTCCACCGTCTACATTCACACTGCTTGTTTTCCTATATTTGCCTAGACCTTTAAGCATTTTGAGTTATAACTCTTGAAATAGAAACCATTAATGGTTTTTAATGGTGCCTAGACCTCTAGCACAAGAACACATAAACTTGCTCAGGGGAGATGTGGCTCCAGTTGAAGAAATCTTTTTCTCTGCAAGCATTTGGGGAAGGCTCAGCATCATATAACACAAGGATACTCTATAGATAAGCAAGAGAATATCATACAGATATCAAAATTAGTCATAGCTAAACATCTTATCAAAGGTGCACTCATAAAAATATATAATGGTGAAAAATTAATATAACCTTCTGATTTTGTAATATCTAGAGAAAATCTTTTCTCCCCAAATTGTATTGGGATAGCAAATAGAAGAACAAGTTTAGAGCAACAAAATATATCCTCCCATGTGTAACTAACGACATGTATTTAGACAGTGAGAATCCACTCTCTTTTTTTGACAAGAATTACATGACCTGTAAGGGACTAAAATGATGTTGACATTCCTCACAGTGTTATGCAGCTGACTCAAAGTAAGGACATGGAATATATTGGTTGTCAAAAAGAGCTATGAATCAACTCATCTCTCTTACCTATTTAAGATCTCACACATATTTGTCTAAGGCCTATTTTTGTCCTACTAGTAATAATATATTCATTTGGTTTATAAAATGGAAAAGCTAAAGTCCTTTAAAATACTGGAGCTTTATGGTAGAACATTTTATATGATGTTTAAAACTTGAATTTCCCACATGAAAAATTAGAAACAAATAATATTAAAAATTGTATAACTCTGAAATTTCAATGTTGATATGTTAGTTGTTCTAGTAAGACTACAAGAACTGTGAACTGATTTGAAAAGTAGGCAGAGATTTGCCTTACTAGAATTTTGGGAGTTGTTATAACAGAATTATCTTGAAATGTGAATTGAAATGGAACTACTCATTAACTGTCCCAAATACTTTAGCCCCAATAATGTAAATATAGCATTGTGTAATAACAGATTGAGCAAAGCTACTAATTCCTTATATAAAATAACTTTGTAGTTGAAAAAATGGATGATCTCATTTAATCCTCACAGCTTCTTCTAAGAACGAGAAGTCATAAAGTGACACTGGAACTTTTTCTGAGGCATTTCTGGATAGAGTTATTATTATTCAAATCAGTACAAATTAGCATGTTACAAAAGAAGATTTTTTATTTTCTCTATCAAGAAAATAAAACCCAACTCATTGTATATAATACTTATACTTAAAAGATGCCTATTATGTTCATTTTAGTGGATCATTTTATCAGGTGAAATTATAAGATGCTCAAAATTAGCCATTGGTTCTCAGGGTATGTACAATGAAATGAACACCAAGTTGTCTTAAAAACTGTATAACAAATCTCTTTTGGGTAATTTATTATATGATAGGGGAAAAGACCCGAGATACATGATTTGAAACTCAGATTATTTTTTTGAAAATAGGCTTGATGATTTATGTGTTTACTCCTTAAACATAGGATGATAATGCTGAGTTTTAATGCATGTGCTTAATTAATAAATTAATTGATGTCCTGTGTATCTTCAGAAACTAAGCATTCTAGTGGCATATGGCATAGTACAATAAATTAAACCAAAATTATCTTATTTAGTTTTATTTTCTCCATACATTCCCTTCATAATGACTCTGCTGCTTTAACTCTTTTGTCCCTTAATGATTTTATGGTTACATTTCATAAGTTTCTGTCCACTTTCAGTTATACAATCTTTTTTTTAAGTCCAGTAGAAAATATCAAGCTCAAAAATCAAATGAAGTCCATTTTATCTTAGCCCATTCTTGCTCCTCTGGTTTCTTCTTCTCTTTTCCCTGTCACATTCCCCACACTTGCAGTGCAGACATGAGCTGGGACCCTCATTCCTTGGCTGAATGGGGAGTTGTATGGTCTTTTATGCTATTTTCTGAACTCTGTACACTGCAAGATTGAGCACTGGGGAGGAATGTCCATGCAGATAGGGTTCATTTTATAGAAATGAGTTCCTTCTTATATTGAGAGATATCCCTAAGATTTTTATGGTTCAATCTCTTTCCATGTGAGATTGAACCATTTCTATGGTTCAATCTCTTTCCAGATTCCAGTGAGGAATCTGAGGAGCTGATGGTCTCAACTCATATGACATGCGTATTTTCCACGAAGTGGTAAGTTTCAGTCCGACATCAAACCATAATTTGTTTTTAAATCAATGCACAATATGTAAGTGATAAAGCCCTAGAATAAAATGCAGTAAATTCAATTTTAAGTATATGTTTCATGGTGTGTTCTAATATGCATCTCTCTGAGGACCTGGAGTATGACAGATTTTTATAGTATATCTCTTGATAGTGATTTACTGAGTCTAAGGTTATTAATTATAATGGCTTCTCTAGTTTGTTCCACTTGGATCAGTACCCAGACCATCCGAAATAAAGCTGAAGAGCTGGATCCCCACAGAGATAGGAGGTGGTGTTGAAATTGGGAGAGGGATGGAGGAAACTTTGCAGATAATCATGCATTATTATATTTATTCCTCTAACACATACTAATATTATTCCATTTCACTTGAAATGTAATAATTTGCATATATGTCTATTAGTCCATTCTCACCCTGGTGTAAAGAACTACCCAAGACTGAGTAATTTATAAAAGAAAGAGGTTTAATTGACTCACAGTTCCACATTCTTACAATGGCAGAAGGGGAAGCAAACACGTCCTTCTTCATGTGATGGCAGGAAGGAGAAGTGCTGAGCAAAGCAGGCAAGGCCCCTTGTAAAACCATCAGATCTCGTGACAACTCACTCACTATTACGAGAACAGAAGCATGGGAGAAACCACCTCCATGATTCAATTACCTCCCACAGGGTCCCTCCCACAGCATGTGGGGATTATGGGAACTACAACTCAAGATGAGATTTGGGTGGGCAAACAGCCAAACCATATCAATAGGTAACATAATTATAATAATGTGGAATGCCAAAATGTGTATTTAGAAAAACTGATTTTTTGCAATCAGTAAATTTGTGTTGATGCTATCGTTACATGTATATCACTTATTATGCATTTAGAGTCTGATATTCTAAAATAAGACCCTTTCCAACAAAATTACATCAATCAAGCAATATTCCATTCATAAAATCAGCAAGTAAGTCATCATTCAATAGCCTATATTTCAAGTTTTTGCTTTACATAAAAGCTTTGAGGTATGTAGCAAATGTCAATTATTCTATGACACTTATAAAATGTAAAAATATAGATGGGTAAATAGATATTGATATAAATATTAAATATTTCTCTTTCACTTTATTGTGTGTTCTTTATCTTCTATTTGTCTTATATCTGTGTATCTAATTCTATTCGATTCAATATAAACTTTATGTCAGTTATATTCCTGCCAGGGTCAGATTATGAAGGCAAGATTTAGTTCCTCCTAATGTGTCCCACATATAATTTTTTAATTGTCAAATAAGTGATAAGAAGTAAAATAAAATCTGATATTTTTCTGATATCAATTTTAAGAGTCTGTAGAATTATTAAATGTCATATTACAGAATTTTATTTTTGCAGAGGATGAGTGGGTGTTGACTAATAGTGCTGTATTTATTTATTTATTTATTTATTTATGTTTGAGATGGAGTGTTGCTCTGTCACCCAGGCTGGAGTGTGGTGGCATGATCTCAGCTCACTGCAACCTCCACCTCCCGGGTTCAAGCAATTATCTGCCTCACCCTACCAAGTAGCTGGGAATACAGGCACCCACCACCACACCCAGCTAAATTTTGTATTTTTAGTAGAGACGGGGTTTCACTATCTTGGCTAGTCTGGTCTTGAACTCCTGACCTCGTGTTCAGCCTGCTTTCGCCTCCCAAAGTGCTGGGATTACAGGTGTGAGCCACCACACCAGCCAAGAGTACATTTTTTTTTAATGCCCTAACTACATGCTTGAATTGCCTATTGAGTGAAATGACTGTATTGCCCAAATCCAGTTACTTTCAAGAGCGGAAAGAGAAGATATTAATCATCATGCCAGGATTATAGAGAAAACATGAGACTGTTCTGGATGAATTAAGACATGAGTGCCCTGCTGAGAAGTCTTGCCCCAGAAAAAGAATTTCTTTTTCTGCACCTTTCCCTGGCACTTTAATTAAGCTGCCCTACTTACTTCGTACCAGATAGGTTCTCCATGCATTCTTGCTTTCTTCATCTTGTCTTTGCACCTGCAGTGTTCTCTTCCTTCTTTATCTGACAAAACTCAGTTGCATGTAAAGCTGTAAAAACTTTTTTAGAATTCCTTCCTTGATGCTTCACTTTCTTGTGCCCCTGAGCAAAAGACTACCTTTCTTCTGCATTGGGGCTGAATGGAAAAGTCACTAAAAGCCTGCTCGGTTTTCCTAGATGCTGGATTCTGTAAGGACACATTTTCTTCTTGACAGGATAATAATTTGATTATACTGATTATGTGTTCTTCATGCGCAATCCCCATTCCAGGCTGATTGCTCGCAGAGTTTTATTATAGAAACGCCTCAAGGCATACTTCATTTTGTAGCGAGAAAATGCTTGATGTGTTTTAAGAGACTTGGTTTCTGTTTTCAGAAGCAATCTTGGTGACCTCTAATCCACAAGTTTACGCCTTAAACAATGAGCAGGCCTTTTTTTGGTTGTTTTTCTTTCCCTACTTATCCAGATTTGACAAAAATGTCGCTGGCTGAGGATGGGAGGAGAACATAAGTGGAGGCATCATGTTAGACACTGGTGGGAATTCGAAAAATGCTCCTGATCCCTGAATCAGGTCTAGACAATACAGCTAAGGGATCAAATACATTTAATGGTCAAAAGCAGAGAGAACTTAATGTATTCCCTAGTTAGAACCTGGGAAAACAAGTTCTGTCCATGAAACACCACCATACCCTATAAGCAAGAGAAAATAAATGGCAGTGTTGCATAAACAACAAAGAGGGTTTAGGGAACCACCCTCTTCTCCAGTCTCCTGCAACTCAAGAGAACTGATAGAGATTAACTGAATTTCCCAAACCCCTGAAAGGGGCAAAGAAGTAGCCCAGAGATGACAATGGGCATTAAGCACCTGGGTGGTCCTGGGTGCTGGGACTGAGTTGTCATATGGGATTCTCAGTGGGAGGAAGCAGGGATGGTTGCCTCTGTAGGGGAGACATGACTTCCTGGATACTGACACTCTTGGTACTCCTCCACCGCCCCCACCTGTCACATCTAGAAGAGTAAAATACTGAAATGACTATTTTAATTTGCCTGGATAGAATTTACCAGCATTTGAATAATTCAATATTGAAATAGAGATTGAGGGTTTTTTTTTTTTTTAAAGTAACAAAAGCTAAATTTTTTGTGCATCTGGTTGTAAAATGTACATCAAGCAGCTTTTCTAGTTGAAAGAGAAAGGAAGGATCAAGGACTCACGAAACTGAGGCAGTTATAATTTGCCAGGTCTCAGGCTTGGTATTTGACATCCATTATCTCATTTATTCTTTCAAATAACTCATTTATTTACAGTCTTATTCAGAGTTCCCACAGAAAGTGTGGCTTTATTTAAGGGCTTGAACGTAGATGGTTTATTTTGTAAAGAGAAATCATCCTAAGGAACTTGGGAGGGCCCTAGGAAGAATGACCTGGGGCAGAAAGAAAGGTGAGTAAAAAGGTGTCTGTGCATCTGGTCATTGTGGGCAACGGAGGTTTCACCCAGTGAGGAGCTAGGAGATTGCGGAAGAAATTCTTCAGACTTGTCTGTCCAGGGACCCAAAGAAGGGAGTATTTTCCATCAGTTAATATTTCCTCATTGGTCGTTGGTTGTGCGGTCCCTTGCACATCCACATTTGTGCATGTATCAGAATCACTGAGCTGGTTCCCATAGGGTCACACATAAGAGTGGCAAAAAAATCATCAGCTAGAAAATGAGATATTTGCTGGGCATAGAAAGAAAGATTCTGCTTGGGTTACATTTGAGCACAGCTGGTTGCCATACAGGAGCCAGAATAAAATTAGGCCTAGAGGATATGAGGTATGGCATAAAAGTTTTCCCAAGATCCAGGCCAAGATTTGCACATGTGTGACCAGGATAATCACATGGGATAATCACACAGCATAATCTGTGATCAGAAGAGTCCTACAATTGAGGTTTAATGCTCTGTGCAGTCTTACGAATGCTATCTTTGAATGTGTATTTTATAAGTAAAGTCAGATGGGGTAATGGAGCCTGCACTGGGATTTGGATCATCTCGTCACACTGAGTGTCACCTCTCACAGACTTCCTATGTTGTTCTTGCCTGGGTTGGTGGCTGCCCAGTCTCTTTCCTCTGGTTACCTGATTATTAGTCTTTATGCCTCCCTTCTGCATCCTGGGGCCACTGCCACCTGCTGCCAGGGGCAATAACCAGATTGCATTGGTAGGTGTAGAAGGGAGGATCATGTTCTATTATTGCACTTTCTCTTAGTAGGGGCTGAGCATGGGCACAAGAAAGTTCAGGGTCAAGCCCAATTAATGGTGTCATGGGGAGGAGGATGAGGCAATGACTGTCCTCTCCCCTGTGTCAGTGCCATGGGGAATTTGACAGGAGGCTTAGTGGGATCCTCAGAATTCTTATAATCAAGGTATCAAGTATAGCTCAGTGTGGAAGAGATTGCCAACATTTGGGAGTCACTCATCTGTAGTGTGTTGGGTCAATAGGAAAGGGATGCTGACTTCCCCACTGTATTAACCTTGTTTTCTAGTTTGTGTATCTGATATTTTGACATCATGGTCATTGTTGACTAGAAAGTGACGGCCCCTCCCAGGGTTAGCGGATTCTAGAGATAGCACAATACTCTCTGCCTTTTATACTTAAACTAACCAATCCCCCAACCCACATGCTTTATCCCGCTGTCACACTGGGTAACACCAGTTTCTCTTTCCCTACCTTAATTATCTCAGGGCCAGGCATAAGACAACCAGGGGCAACCCCTATTTCCTGGAGCCCACTGAACTTATTCAAACTAGTGAATCCGAAATCTACTTTGTCTGCTTACACTCTCATCCCATTTTTCCCCCATTAAAAAAAACACAGTACAATCTTTCCTACAGTTTTTCTTGCTTTTTCTCTCCCTGTGACCAACCAAACCTGGTGTTCTCTCATGTGGTCCTGCCAGGGATGGCCTGGCA